GTTGCTCTGCTGAAGCCTGAAGCTCGTCTGAAGACATTTTTTGAGGGGATGGTTAAAAAGCGAAATTGGCTTGACATCATTCTGTTTATATCCTTTCAGGTGCTGGTTGAGAGAAGCGACATACTGATCAATTACAGAAAAGAATCAATCTCTGTGTTTTTCAAAAGGGCTGAGTTGTACTTATTCTCCATGATCATAATCCAATGAATTAAGACCCACATTGCGGTGTTAGTGTCGAGTTTGCACCTGCACAGTCTGCTGAATCAGAGAACACTTCGCCTTGCTTCTCATAAGTTTTGAACGAGTCACGCTTTGATGCGACATAGTTTTTCAAGCGAGTCAGTGGCAACGGCAGTATTTGACTCCAGTTTTGTGTGTTGTAGATTTTTACTAGTACTAATAGCATCTGTTCATTCCAGAAAGTGGTGTAAATTCCCGTTTCAAACTGATTCAGCTGTATTAATTGCTTCACAGTGAAAACACCCTTTTCTTCAACGGCATCAACAATTTACAGAATGATAAAAAAAAACCCAACTAAACAACCTTTTTTTCTGAATACCTCACACAACATTTTTACTGACTGTTGCAATTTGGAACAGATATAATTCATCCAAAAGGCATTTGTTTGACATAAATTCATAAAAATAAAACTTGCTTTCGAAAACGGAAATGGCTTTTTTTAACCCACCTATAAACGCCAAATTAGACACCAATTCAAAAGATGGTGTTAGGAGGGTCATGAAATGATTGATTTGTTTTTCCCCTTCCTATTCCTTTTAAAATCTAATCTTTCCATCCCTGTAACATTTGAGCAATATTTCTTTTCCCTTTCAGAGTTTTAATTATTTTTTTTGGGGGGGGGGGGGGGGGGGGGGGATACAATTCTGGAATTTCGAGAACCAGTGCTCTGTGTCCTTCTTTGGACCCGACAAATTTTAACACGTCGTTAGTAGTGTTCAGTACTGGCCAAACACAAGGATCCACCCAACCATGAGTACTCAAAGCCACACGCACAGTACGCCTTACAGTATTGAGTTGTTTCTAGAGGCAATAAGGGGTTGGGTGAGGTTGCCCAAATAGACAGCATTTTTGGAGTTAACATAATATCATGAAAGGTGAATATGGGCTTTGCCAAGGAAGCAACTGCCATAGAGGAAATGTTCACGCTTTTCGATACGATGGAGCAATCATGAACACATTACTATCCTCTGATAGCTTCGCGAACAGGAAAATGAACAGTTGTAGAAGAAGATCTACCTTGAGAATGTAGACTGTAGACCATTGAGATGTAGTTAAGTCCTAGCTGCAGACATTGTCTACAGACACGTCTCATGGGGCTCATCTACTGAATGCTGCACCCTGATAACGTTTAAACCATGTGAACGATGAATGTTTGACCTGAAGCGGTCATTTTGTTTCGGAATATTTAGTTCTGATTCTCTACAAGTCCTAAAAGGTGAATCCTTTACATCAAGGGAGGCACTGAAGACACTTTAACGCACCTGGTGCGAAACTTACAAAATGAGTTGGTGGTGAGGAAATGTTCAATACAGAAAGCTCTTAGCGCTTTACTAATCTAAACCATTATCTCAACAGGCAAAAGAAACTTGAAAAAAGCTATCTGCAAACTTCTGTTGGCCTGTTAGTAGTGTTAGACTTCTGTAGCTGGCAATATGGCCCAATCGTTGGGACTTAAAGTGGTAGGCCTAATAAATGCGAACTAGTACGTCATACAATAAAAATGGGGACATAGCTGAAAATAGTTTGTTTTTTACGCCTTATGTGGAGAAAAACTAATCTATGGATTATCTAAACAGAAAATCAGACAAATTCCTTTTGACTCCAAAATGTTGTGTACAAATTTGAAACGCAAAACTTCCGCGTGGAGGAAATACAGGGTGATTTTAAAAAACAACTTTACAACTTGTTTTGTAAATATCTTCCTCCATACTGAAGTTTTGCCTTTCAGATTTGATCATAACGTTTAGAAGCCAAAAGGAATTTGTCTGATATGTTTTTTAGATAAGTCCATTGAATGGTTTAGCTCTATATGGCGCATTAAAAAAACCCAACCCATTTTCAACCTTGTTGACATTTTCATAGCATGACGCACCAGTTTGCATTAGGCCTACCACTAAAAGTTGTAACAATCGCGCCATATGGCAAGCTACAGCAGTCTAACAAGTCAAACAGAAGTCTGCGGATATTATTTTTCCCAAATTTCGTTTGCCTGCTTAGATCATGGTTACGTTTAGTAAAGAGCATATAGCTTTTTGTATTGGACATTATCTCTCCACAAACTCACCATCCCTGACATTTTGTAAGTTCTGCTCACGGCATGGGGAGAATGCTTAGATGCCCTCAAGACCTTTGGCGTCATGAGCAGAGAAGTTCCGTCAGTTTGGATCTATAGCGAATCACAACTAAAAAGTTCTGTACAAAATGACCACTTCAGGTCGAACACGCACCACGCGCAGCCCTTTAAACGTCACCAGAGTGCAGATTTCAGTAGCCGAGTCCTATGAGACGTCTGTCCGTGGATAATCTGCAGCTAGGACTTTCCTACACATCAACAGTCTGCATTCTCATGGCAGATCTTAACCTACTACTATTTCGTGTACAATGTTCATCTTCGCTAGGCCGAGATGACATGGATCAGAGCATGGCAATGTGTTCATGATTCCTCGATTGTCATGTGGATCATTTCCTTGATGACGTTTGGTTTAGTGCAAAGCCCATTTTCACCCAACGACGCGTTAAAAATGTGTCGAGTCCAAAGGAGGGAATGTGGAGCACTGCTTCTAGGAATTTCAGAATGAATTCATTAGATTTTTTAAAACTCTGTAAAAGAAATTAAATATTGTTTAAATGTCACAGGGATGGAAAATTGATGTCAAAGAGAAAATAAAGAAAAAGGTAAACTAATCTTTTCACGACTTCTTTTACAAGATTTTTAAACTATTAAACATTGGTGAACTTCGCGTTTTTGGGTGCTTTTTTTTTTAGCCGTTTCCGTTTTCAAAACAGGTTTCTTCTTTGTGGATTTTATATCAAACAAATTCCTTTTGAATGTTTTATGTCTGATCCAAATTACTGCATTCTAGAACAATTTTTGGGCGAGATATTCAGAAAAAAAGTTGTAAAATTTTTTCGGGATCACTTACCTAAAAAAATTGGTTTAGTTTTGTTTTGGGGTTGTTTTTTTTATCACCCTGTATTTCAGTAGTCATGCTTCATAGCCTTCATTGTGCTAGGTCTGCAGGAACATTGCGTTGTTGTGACACGTTTGGGAGTCAAGACGAATCATTATGTTTTAAAGCCTCCATCAGAAGTTGATGGCGACGGGTTGAAATTGTGAAGAAGACGAACAGCTTTTCAAGAAAGTAAAAAAAAAATTACATCACTCGAATAGTATTCTACAGTATTTTTTACCAACCAAGTTGACAGACTGTGCTGTACAAGGAATCCAGGATGCAAGACTGTTTTTCTCTCTCAATTTAGCTTGTTTGTAGACCACTTAACTTACCAATCAAGCAAATGAATTGTCGAGCTTTGTCCGCGGCTGTTCCCAGGTCAAGGTCATAATATATCTTCAAAAATTCCATCTAGACACTGAACATCTCTAGAGCGCCATGGCCTTTGTTTTCCATGAATATTACAAGCCGTTCCATGGGGCCATCTTTCTCCGTGTAGGCCTACTTCAATACAAGGGTCATATGGTCATGTAGGCTGCATTGGGTGTGGAGTCCAAAGAGATAGAGTAGTTTACACTGATAAGATCTTCCGTTACAGTAGATGACAGAGAGTTTGGGTGTCTAGAGTCCAGACGTTTGCCGCTGGCGATTGGCTTAGATTTTGATACGCTGGGGAAGAAAGTCGTTCTTCTTGGCGATGAGTTATTCAAGGATACCGAGTGCGTTTCCATCTTTAGGTGATCTAACCAATTTGTTGTCTCCTCTAGCTATGCCCGGCAATGAACTGAATGACACTAGCTACTGGTTTCAACTTTGATCTCCAGCAATGCTCTAGATGCTCGACCTGCTGTACCAGCTCTATATCAATTCGCCCAAATTCTCTTAATCTCCTATTGAAGAAAGCAATCGTAGCCTTCACATAATTATTCCGTTTACAGCTCATGACTATGTAGACGTTTTTAAACAATATTTCCAATCATAAAATCCATTAGACGAAAGCTGAGAAGACTCAGCAGTAAATGAGGGAGAAAAGCGTAACCACTTCCTACTTATGACTTCCCCATTGTGATTTTGATGATGGAAGAGCCGAAGTGCGCACATTCTTGGAATATTGCTGTCTTTTCTAGGCCTCTGCACGGAGTGAGCAAAGAACAAATTTCATCGCAGCGCTGTTGATACTCCCCTTTTCAGCCAGTATGCCTGCCTGCATCTGCAACGAAATGATGGATGGCAAAAGTTCAATGTAGTTGTCCAAGGCGGGCTCTCAACATCATTTTCTACGTGTAAGATGTGCCTCCATTTCTGCATTATCATATCCTTCAGTTGGATCCCTCTACTACTTCTACATTATCTTTGTCAGGATCATCAGCCATTTCCGCTGAAGCCTTTTCGGGTTGATGAGTTTCTGCAAAGTCATCATTCCATTCTGACACTTGTCTTGGTTAAACAGAGAAGAACTGGTCCAGTGTTCTCATCTTTGCCATTTATTTTGCTGATTTCATTGTTGCTTCCTCTGCTTTACGTCATTTAGGAGCCCTTGCCCCCGTTTTTTAAATCCGACCCTGGTTATTCGTACCAGGTCAAACATTACGAAATTTGTTCAACAGGGTGCACGCACACCGTTTCATTAAAACCAGTTCTTAGCTAGAATGATACAGCACTTTGCTAGCCACGCTCACCGTTAACCCGAATCTACGGCAGTCAACAACAACAAAAAATGGAAAAGAAATGTATTCCCAAGTACCAATAACAACCAAAGACAGTCCTCGGCATGACAGTCTTAACCTCATTCTGAGAGCGGATTAGGCCTAAGTGTTTCCCCGAGACTGATAACGAGCCACGAGGGCTAGACTTTAAGAAAACTTTGGACTTCTCCCCCTGTATAAAACGACTACCTTTTCACGATAACTCGACCAGTTTAAAGGCTCACATCCTGCAGGGAGAAGTCATAAGGGCGTTTAAAGGTCTGCTTAGCTGTTGTCGATAAGTTTCCAGTGTCGTTTTTGCTTTTAAGATTCGAAAATCGAATGTTTACCGTACATAGCATATTTTTACTATCAGTTTACTATTTCGTGCACGTGGAATACATCTACATGATGTATTTGACTTTCATCCGCATTCCTTTTCTTACCTAATGTGGTGGACAGTAGACACAGACTTTTTGAGTATGAAACTGTTAGATCTATATGTAGCGCCTTTTGTTGAACCATTTGACCTTCTGTTTTATTTTTGCAATGGTCAGTTCAGTTGTCCTCTAAAGGTAATTAGATAATAATGCTGATGTCAATGAACTAAAAGACATTATATTCATGTACTCAGATTATCGATGAATACGTTTTCTTGCACCTAATAGTATCTCGGTATTGCACTGAAAAAAAAAAAGTATTCAGTTACCAGCTACCTAACCTGTTGAAAGTGGGTCCTTGTTCCCCATTCACCAGCGGAGCATCAAACCAAAACAGAGACCGACGCAACGCGACGTCAGACATAACCTGTAACTTTGTAGCCTAGCCAATTGACCCTGCGGACACGCCATGCAAACAAACCCCTCAGCTGATATGCGACAGCTTCGCGCGTCTTTTTGACCATCCGACAGATGACACTGGGAACACCATACTGGTGTGGCATGTTTTATGCGCGTGATATCTATGTAGTTTCATAAACAACTCGTCCAAGTGGATACTAAGGCAAGTGTACGTATCACGTTCGAGCGTTAATGCTGTGTACTGTGTATTTCTTTTGCAATCGCTGGTGCTCACGTATAACACCGTGTCCATCAGCCTAACACTGAATGAAGGTCCGAACAAACGTATAACTCTGTCGGTATTATTTCTTTGTTGACTCACATGCCCATCTTGCAAACGCAATGACCAAAGAGTTCATTTGTCAGGAAAAGATCTCAGTAAAAAAACAACCCAACTTAAGTAGATCTAAATGTAGCCTAGACCCTTTCATTTGTTTAACACACAAGACGGTACGTGTTACAAAATCATAACCCATGACTAGTGCTATTTATAGAATAGTCAACTTCTGTGTCGTCTGCTACTTCAAGCGAGACGGTCTGACTACATAAGAAAACTCAATATCTGACACATGCGGATAGTGTGTAGTCTACTTTCGAGGAGATTTGTTGGTTGGTATGTATAATTTAAACTGACACAAAATACAGCCGACAATGAAACAAAACCTCAAAATTATCAACGCAGACGCACCAGACCCACTTACGGGAGGTCTCCATGCTTTTTGCTCAATCTGTACTATATCTAGATGCATGCTTTACGCATTAATTTATCGATGAACAGCTCACAGTACCTGGAATATCTCATAACGCATAAAAACTGTGTAGGCTACGTTCATCACCATTTTCCCCCACTAAGTTTATGAGCACAAGCCTAAAGCAACTAACACAATCAACCGACGCCTATTGTGTTATCGGTTGTCTCTTCACCGTTCGATTCCCAAATTGGGAGGTTTTTGGGGGTTTTTTTGTTGTTTTTTTCAATTGAATACTTCCGTCTATCTGCTGGAATTGTTGTTTTTCACACGGCCTAGGTTGGCTCAGACCGGCAGGGTCGAAGCCGTCAGACCCCTAAATGATCACAGTTCTGTCAATGGGGGCCCATGGCATTTCCAGTAGGCCTAGGCCTGAACAAAAAGGATGTGCATCTACGTTTGTGTGATGCTTTAATTGCAGCCTGCTGTCGAAAAACAAAACAACAACAACATCCAATAAAGCTTACAGAAATCCACAGGTGGTTGGAAGGTACATGTACCACTGGTAGATTCTACATGTACTTCTTTTACTGCCCTATGTTATTATTGTCTGTTTTGTCTATTTATTTTTTTGTTTATGTTTTCACTAAATGTGCGTTACTGTGCCGATGTGGTTCTCTTTGCTCAAATAAAACCAAATAAAAATTCGGAAAGGTCACGATCAATCAAATAATCTGGTCCTATTCCAACACTCAACGTTTGTTGCTTGTGTTCCATTCCATCATACAGCCTTTGGAAATCACAAGACCCC